CATGATATTTTCCGTAGTTCCTTGGATTTTTTGCTATCTGGGGTTATTTGTTGGTTCTTGTTTGATGCGAGTTTTTTGAAAAGGTGTCATCGCGTTTGTCCTATGGAAATTGGGCTCGAAAAACCAAAAATTGTTTGATCGCATGTTAAGGCCGAGTAGGTACCATACATATCGCCTTTGCCAGCTAAATGGAAGGGATTGAAAGGGCCTCCTGACCACACGGCTATTGGGATAACTAAGAGGAGTAAATTGATTGAATTCTGTACATCTTTTAAGGTGGTGTTTGGATCGGTGACATAGTAAATCGTTGAAACCGTCTGATCGTACATACGTCATAGTTGGACAAAGGTCTGCAAATATTCTTTACGACAATATAACGAAATTTCATGGCTTCTGCCATCCAAACGGTATGGTACTTTTAGATGAGGTGCGCACGAAGATGGTTGTGAGTTCGTATAATTGCACAATATGTTCGTGATTTTGAAACCCTACCTCCAATTGTTCATATTTATTTTGTTTAGAGTTGCAAATGGCTCTTGTTTGCGGCGGTGTTTAAGCTTTAAACCGTAATTGGGTCAGTGTAAGTTCTCCTCAACGTGTATATGTTTTATAGAATCTAAAAGTTTTCCTAATTTACCTTTCGTGCTATGAGGAAGTTATACATTTTCATGAAGCCAATGCAGTTTAAAATGTGACATTGTTATATTGGGCTGAAGAGAACTGTGAGTGTCAAAATTCATTATATTTGTTTTCTGTTAGGTTCCTTAACTTTTTATCAAGTGTGGAGGGTTCATTGGGGAGTTGCAGGTTCTTCTTCTTTGCCTAATTCATTTACGGTGTATGGTCGAGGTTTTCTCCTTAACTCAGGACAGTTTAGCTATTCTCTTCCTGACCTGAGGGAATGACCTGCTTCGACCGAAAGTCTCTTTAAGCGGCATCGACGTCGCCATTTCCTCACTGGTCACTTAGGATCGTATGAAAATAATTTTATATTTGCACGCTGACCGCACCGCTTGGTCATATTTTAGCCTGCCAGTATCGGCAGCTAATGTGTTTCAACCAGGCGGCGTAGATGCGACGCGGCTACTTTTAGACAGAGTTCTGCTGTGACCGTATTGTAATCAGATCGAATGCATGTGCCATGCCTGACACGGTCGCGAGTAACGACTCGTGCCATTTGTTGCTGATGAGGACGTGTTTCATCTCGATGTTCAGGCATCCATCGTGGGGTGTCAAGTGATTTGGTGAATACACTTATGGGGTAAAACGGTCCCGCCGATGAAGTTTATATCACAAAAGTGTCACAGACACCTACTGTTGTCATCCATGCTGTCTACACCTTGACGGTTGCGGACGCCGGGGCACATCTGCTATATTCGGTACCCATCTTGGCGTTGAGATCGCCTGTGACAATTGTAACAAGTCGTAACGCGACTTGAACGGTCATGGACAGTATCTTTACTCGGCATTTGTTGGGGATTTCTGAGGAGGCACATCCAGCTTCGCATATTTGACATTTACACGATAGGATAGGATCCCATCCGATACCTATTCAACAGCAAAGTTCGTCCTTCGAGACAAGTGCGTGCCCACAGGGCATGGCGGAATCTACTTTTGCCGGACCATCAGAAAGAGCACCCCTGCTGAAACCCATTTTCACGAAGGCTAGCTTCAGTTACTGGTAGTAAATCAAGTTTGCACTGACGGTCCGCGGTATATGACGTTTTGGCAAAGGCGATTGGAAGCAGACTGTTGGTTGGCGTCGGCGCACGGTCCCGCGATTGCCACAGTGTTCATTACTGGAATGACGAATTTCTTTGTTTCTTGTTGTTTTATAAGTTTTGAGCATGAAGGACTCGCTTCATAGATTTCTGCTGGAACAAGGAATTCAACGTTGCTGTCCAAGAAATCAACCTGTTACCTCTCCTTCAGCTATCCGAGAATCTGTCATTGCGCTTGAAGCGCAAAGTATTCGATCATTGCATGTATCCAGTGCAAAACTGTTGTTGCCAAACGTGGGCCCTAAGCCTGGATGCTATTTTAAAAACTGCAGTGTGCAACGCAACATCGATAGATGTAAAATACAGAAATAAGAATGAATGTACAGGAGCACAAACAGGTATCTGCGATGTCATTGCTTGAGTAACGAAGCTAAAGTGGGAATTAACCAGTGACTTTATACGAAGGTCTGGCCCTTGCTCGAACACAGAAACATTAGATTGAATTCCAAGAGAAAGTAAACGACACAGAAAGATCTCTCTACTGATGACAGGATACGCTGAAGAAGTTAGCTGGACGAAAATATCAGAAAACAGTAGTCCATGGCAAAGATTTGCAAAGGTCTTCGTTCAGTGTGGATCAACAAAGGGTAAGATTATAATGACGACCTTCCCAGCAGCATAAGAATGGGATAGTATTAATGTTAGCTCGTTATGTAAGGGTCCATCACGGGAAACCGACATTCAGATGGTTGTGAACATTGCTTTCTCCTTTCCTTATATTCGAATTATTCACGTGAAGTAGCAAATAAATTTACTATTCTTTTCATCAAAGATTCTGAACAATTGGGTATACGGCTTTTTTCGTTTATTTGTAAAATAATTTTGATTGACTGAACTGGTCTGATATTTGATTTTTCTGGATTTAATTGTAGATTTCCGCTAATTGGAGCACCAGTTATGCTGTCACGCCACAAATTAAGATCACTGTTACAGCAACGTTCAT